TGCTAAGCGAAACGATAGTGAGTTTTGCTCTGTTTTACGACCTGGCCGCTAGACGAATCACTGCAGTTGTTAAATCAGTAACTCGGTTGTTAAGTGAATCCGGCTTCCCCCATTAGCTTGGCTTGTCGGAAGATTGCAAAACGGGGTCACGTGACCCAAAGACGCTGTGACCGTCGTAAATATGAGTCAGTTGCCAAACGTCTGGGTTTTGATCACATGACCAGGGGGATGCTGCAACGGTCGTAAGTGTGAAAACTGGCCGTAAGTCCCTTTTTTTTCAGTGCCGTTTGAACGGTCATTAAACAAATAGCAATAGCCCTTAGACTTATATACCGCTTCATAGAATCAAGATCACACAAAGTATTTTTTTAAAAAAATGTTTTATTGATTTTCTAATTTTACATTTAAGTATTTAAAAAGTAATGTGGCGGCTGAGTTAATCGATAATTCAATGACATGCAAGTATCTTTTAGTACCACTCAATTAAATGAGACTGGTACTAAATATTTAATTAAATATTTCCTCTCTTTCCCCCTTATTACCACATTAAATAATTTCCTCTCTTCTCCCCTTAGTATTTACTGTCTCATGTTTAAACCAATACAATTCTTATTATATCAATTAAATAAAAATAACATTCTTACAGTTATCAATAATTTTTAGCTTATACATATTCAGATTATTTTAACATTCAGTCTTTATTGACAATCAACGTCCTAATTAATTTCCCCCCAATTTTTAGTTTCCCGTTAATATTTAAATTTAACATTTAATATTTATAATTTCCAAGTTTTAAGTAACCAAAGTTCCCTTTATCACAATTCATCTCAAAGTCTAATATTCAGGATACACGTCTTATCTATGTGAATGTATTCTATTTCTCACCATCTTACATCAATTAATAATACAATATAACATTCTTATTTTCTATTAATTTCTAAATGTCTTAAATTTAGTAACCAAAATTTCTCTTATTTCAACATCAAATACTTCGTCTCTTTTTCTCTTAATGTCTGCTATCTCATATTTAAGCTAGTACAGTTCTTATTATATCAGCTAAGTAAAAACATGTTTATTACATTTATCAATGGTTTTTAGCTTATATATATCTTAATTACTTTTACATTCAACCTTTATAAACAAACCAATATTCAAATTTAACTTTTAATATTTATACTTCCAAGTTTTAAATGACCAAAGTTGTCTTTATCTCAGTTCATGACAAAATCTAGTATTCAACATACACATCTTGTCTATTTGAGTATATTCGATTTTAATCCTCACTAATAAGTCAAAACCCCAATTTTCTTCAGCCTTATTCTAGCTTTCTTTCTTTGCCAACTCACCTTCCATATCCGTGCTTTTAAATCATCAAATAGATCTCCCTCTGTTATTATATATATTATTTGAGATAAAAAAGGCCATCCAGTCGCCATTTTTTGGGAAGAACTAACAAATTGTCTCTCTATTTTTCCATCTCGACGTAGTTGTCCTGAAATGTTTATCTTCACTTCAGTCTGTTCTTCTTGATCCTCAGGTTTCTTCTGGTTTATATAGGAAGTCTTTTCCATTTTCAGTGTTTGCGGGTTTTCCATTAATTGTGTTTGTTGGTCAGTTGAAACTTCTATCATAGTATTTGATTGTTCCACTTCTTCTGTTATATTCTGTGTAGTTGATTCTTTAATTGTAATCAAAGTTTGGATTTGTATATCTAGGCTGACATCTTGTTCTTTTCTGTAGCTTCTTATTTCATCAGTAGTTGTCAGAATAGTTTCATAAATTGCTTTCAACATAAAGAGAATCTGTTCCTGATCTTTATCCATGTTCTCTTAGTGATGTATTAAATTAAAAGCTTTACTATCAGAGAATGAAAATAATTCTGTCACTGAGTATAGAACACAGCTGGGCTTCTCCCAGATGATATCTGCCAAGGTTGCAAAAGTCTTATCTATAGTCTGGGCTTCAAGCCAAGTCTCTTTTAGGCAATAACAAGTTGTAATATCAGGTTTAGCAACAAGATGTCGCCCATACAGTTTAAGATTTTTTTTAAGTCCAAAATTTTTATAATCCTTTTTCCAATGTTACTTCTTTTTTGTAAGTAAGAACCCAAATCTTCAGTAAGAATAAGAAATCTTTTAGTCCTCAAATTTTAGAAAGATAAAAATCCAGTTACAATCAGGTTATTCTTTCAGCGTTTTAAACTCCCCTGGATAGTCATTCGCCACTGTTTTTAGAAGGTGGGATGGAATTTCCCTTCCCTCTCTCCACAGGGGAAAAAATACTTTGGGCAGCTTATACAGGTGGAAAAAATAGTTAGGGTTGAAGAGAGGTTCAGATCTCACCCAGTCTCATCCGCGCTGCTTTATAGGTCCCTGGTGGTAAGTTTGACTTCAACTGTCTGCAGCCTAGTGACGGCTATATTTCTATGGCCGGTCTTTTGTCTGCCGGTTTGGAGGGCTGCCCTGGATTGAGCAGAAGGGCTACCGCCCTCCCGCAATCAAGAGGGGGTCCCCTCCTTGCTCGTCGCCTCTACAGGGCGACTTTCGACCCTTTCCAGGGTCCCCCCAGCGTTGTGAAATCAGACATGGAAGACGGAGCTCGCCTTCCAGCGTCCACGTTGGCCGTGTCGGCAAACCATAAGTTCGAAGTATTATTACTACTTTATAAAACCCGAGTGAGATGGGCGGCCCCTTAGGGAAGTGGGGCTGGGCTTGGTGCCGTGGGTGCTCGAGGGCCAGGCTGGGCGTTTGACCTGCTGCCCAGGGCTCCGGGCAACCCGCACCACCATCCAGCCCCCCCCCCACATGGCCTGAGAGGAACGGTGAGGCTCCTCCAGTGGACCATGCCTTGGCGCTTGCCCCGGTCCCACCCCCTTCTGCCAAAGACCCTCAGATCTGTCCCACTCCTGCCCAGGCCCCCACAGGCCCCCTTGACGCGAACGGTGTAGATCTGGCCACGCCCACCCAGTAGGCCGCACCCACTCCACCCCCACCCAGTAGGCCGCACCCACCCTGGTCACACACCCCCTCCCGAGGGCAACCGCAATGCTGATGCGGCCCTCAATGAAATTGAGTTTGACTAGAGGACCTCCCAAGATCCCTTCCAACTCTGTATTTCAATAAATCCAGTCTTTTTTTCCCCTTCCTTTTCACAGAGGGGCTAAGAAGACAACTTCGGAGTAACGTAGTATGTTTCATTGTGAGCTTTTGCGTGCTGATTGTTTTGGAGAGGCATTTTTTTTTCTAAACCGGTTTCAGTTTCCCCTTTTTCCTGAAACTGTTCTTCTCAGCTTCCAAGGTTGGGTTGACCCTTTCAGGCTATTATTGAGTGTTCCTGTATTATTTCTTCCTTGTGGCTGGTTAGTTACAACCCAGTCAGTAAATAAATAAAGTGGTTGGGAGTACAGGAAATAAAGGCATGAAGCGGAACAGGGACCAAGGATAAAATGATAATGAATGCCTTTTCAAGGCTTGGTGTTCCTGTGTTACTTTCTTCATTTGCTCACCTTTGTTCTAATCTATGCAGATAATTGCTGGCTAGTGGAGGTGGGGCATGGATTTATTTATTTATTTATTGGAAAGGGGGGGGGGGCTTGGATTTATTAATTTATTTGTTTATTGGAGGTGGGACTTGGATTTGTTTATTTATTGGAGGTGGGGCATGGATTTGTTTGTTTATTTGTTTGTGTATTTATGTATGTATGTATTTATTTATTTATCGGCCGCCCATCTTAGCATGGGATTATTCCAAAAGCACGGCTGGGCTGCTCTGAATTTTGCTTAGTGAGTAATTTCATCCACTGACTCTTGTCCCCAAAGGTTCGTTTTCCAAAAGGCAACTGGACTTTCTTGGGCTTTGTTTTGTTTTTTTGGGTTTTTTTTTCTTCAGAGTGTTTCGCTTCTCATCTAAGAAGCTTCTTCTTCGGTTCTAACTTGTGTTAGAACTTCAGGGTTAGAAATGAAGAAGCTTCTTTGGTTGGGAAGTCCAGCTGCCATTTGGAAAAGAATGTTTGGGATGACCATGACCTGGATCATTAAGAATGGGATGGACTGAAATAGAAATACAAATAATAGAAATAGAAATAATAGAAATAGAAATAATAATGGAATGGTATAGAAGAAAATAATAGAAGAGATTGTAGAATAAAAGAGAAGAGAAGAGATATTAATAGAATAGAATAGAATAGAATAGAATAGAATAGAATAGAATAAGTTGGAAGGGACCTTCAAGGTCATCTAGTCCAACCCCCTGCTCCGGCAGGAAACCCTATACCATTTCAGACAAATGGCTATCCAGCCTTTTCTTAAAAAACTCCAGTGATGGAGCACCCAAGAATAATGGAATAGAATATAGAATAGAAAATAATCATAGAATAGAATAGAATAGAATAGAATAATAGAATAGAATAGAATAAACAGATAGAATAAAATAGAATAAACAGATAGAATAGAAGAAAATAGAAAAGAATAGAATAGATATTGGAACATATAGAATAGAATAGAAGAGAATAGAATAGATTAAACAGATAGAATAGAACAGAACAGAATAGAATTCTTTATTGGCCAAGTGTGATTGGACACACAAGGAATTTGTCTCCAGTACAGAAGCTCTCAGTGTACATACAAACAACAAAGTAATACTGTATAATCATAGGATACCAAGAATAGAAGATAATAGGAAAGACGAGAAGGATAATAATAATATAGCCATACTACATAGCCATACTTACATCTAAATATCCTTAGATGTAAGAGAATGCTGTGGAAATTAGGTGGTTAGTAGAATGAGGACGGGGGGGGGAAACACTGTGTGTCTAGTTATTTGGGCATGCAATAGACAAATCTTCAACACTGCAATATGCAACAGACAGATAGCCGATCTCCATAGACATTCCCCTGACTCTCTAACTGTTCTTAATTCTGCAGTCTGAAGGACTCTCGCTGAGTGTCTACAGGCCTCCGGCCCTCTGCCCACCTGCGTTTGTGTCCTCGGCTGACAAAATGCCGCACCTAAACGGGATGGTTCCCACGCTGCTGGACGGCCTGCAGAGCCAGGTCTCCCTCCACCTCGCCTGCTCCAAGTGCAGCCAGCAAGAGAACGAGAGCACCTACCTGCTGAAGGAGGTGGACCACAACTGCATGAAGGAGATTTTGCTGGCCAGGCGCAAGGGGGCCAGAGGCTGCCGTTGG